CATTAGATAAACCGTGTCATTTTCCTTCATAGCCCTATCCAGGTTGCGGTTAAGATTAGCTTCTAACTTGCTAATTGCATCCAGAATCTGTGAAGGAGCCCCTTTTGATGATTTCTTTGCCTCGGCTAAAGCACTAACACCACCCTTCAATCGTGCAATTTCTTCTGCGATCTCCTCTTTCTCATGTAGCTCCAAACTACCTATAGCATGCTTCTGCATAGAAAAGAGCTGCCTTAAGCTGCACATGTGCAATCCATGCTTTTTCAAAATGGTCCTTCAAAGGAGCTGCATTTAGTGCGGCTAAAGCTTAGGACGTAGTATAATCCAACCTGAAAATAATCTCATTAATCCTAACTAAATTAATTCAAATTCCCACAAGTAAACATGAAAGAGCTATTACATAGTCCTGTGTATTTAATTTTCTACAGGTGGAAATGACCCCTTACGCGAAATAATTAAAAAGCTCCATTTGGGAGTAAACTCCCTTCTATTACTTTCTAACACAAAATCAATCACCATTCACAAGTATGGTTTCACAATTGGTAAGAGCATTCTACAGCTGTAAATGATAATCATACAGAACTCAAAAAGTGATGAACAAGATTATAGGGGATTCCCAATTTGAGTTTGGCTTTACTTCAAAAGAGGGCAGTGAAGATACAGTGCAGCAAGAAAAAAATTAATCAAAAACCAAACCATATGATCAAAATACAAAACCAATTTTAATATAACTAATCAGTAAAAGGTAAATTACATTTAATCTTAAAACGATAAACTAATAATTTCCAGCAAAAGAAAAAAAAACACTACCCATTCATCCCAGAAAATTCAGATTCCAATTGTCAATCAAGTACAAACAAAGCATAAAAAATGAAATAAAATAACTAACCTGCCTAGAAATCTTGGAACAAACTCCAGGAGTACTTCCTTTAGCGACAGTATTTTCAAAAACACACTCTTGAGCTTGAGCCAACATCAGCCTCTCCAACATCCCAGCACACTCCACCGACAAATCCACGGTCGTACTGTTCCCCTGGACGCTTTTGTCGATGCATTATCTCTAAGGAAGGCAAACGCCCCCGCTGCCTAGATAAACGCATGAGACGCCAGTCTCCTCCCTTCCACCGTAGTCATATCGTAAGACAAGCCAAGCTGACTATAAACCGCTCCGAGGTTAAACAAAATCGCGGCCTTTTCTAAATGGGTATTTTGTAAAATTATTTAATTTGATAAAAATTTCTCTAATTAAATTGTGACAAAATGATTATTATATTTTTATTTTAAATATTCTCTTTTCAATTAACATCATTTGTCTTTTTTTTTTTTTGACAAGCGACGTATTTTATTTTTATTTATTTACTTATTTCCTATCTTTGTTTTTTTAATATTTAATAATTCTATATTTATAATACATTTTTATTTTTTGACACATTTTTTATTTTCTTATCGTTCATTTGATTATTTTTTGTTTAATTTGTTTGAAATTAGATTTGACTTTGTCTAAATTGATATACATGAGACTTATTTTTTATTATGTTGATTTTTCATGCTTTAAATTTTGTATTAAATTTAGATATATGTTTATATTCAAAGTTACTTTTTTTTTATAATATCTAACTCTGATTTACGATTATTGATGAACTTTTAATATTTTAATTTGTTGTTGTGATTTATTTACATATACAATTAAATATGTTCATATTTATTTTTTATTTGAATTCTTTAAATAACATTTAAAATTTTTTATATACACATTATAAATATAATTAGGTATTACATTTTTACCTAGCGCCATTTAACTTTAAAAATAGTAAATTTGGGTAAGAGAAAACCCAGATCTACTGGGGGAGGAATCTAGGAGAAACAGAAGGCAATCTTTGCAAAGATTCTCTAGTCTTATGGTACTACTACATGAATGAATGTTTGTAAACTCGTTGAAGCTGGTTTTCAGTGTTGAAGCTGGTTTTCAGTGTTAAACCAGAAAAGGATTGGTTTTTCTGACAAAGATAAAAACAGCTGATTTGCTTGTTGAAACCGACTCTCAACCGAAACAGAATGTGGTTTTGTCCGCAGATTGCTTTATTCGTCAGCAAACCCCACTTTCTGTGCTGCTTTCTTTGTGGAAGAAAGCTGTCCATTTTTTTTCGCTGACCTGTTCCTTCTCATAATAATCAAATCCCAAGCATCGTTTTTTTTTAATTATTATTAAAAAAAATACAATTTGCCTTGCTCTCTTTGATAACTAAAACTAATTTTTTTTAATGAGGGTTTGGTTTTTAGATTAATGGGATATACGACATTTCATTGCCTTGTCACCAAAAACGCGTCGAGATTCCAGACTAGATTTATTTTTTCTTCATTGTTTTTTTTTTTGCTTAGTGAAGCAACCAGATCTGCATTTTGGGTTTTGTACGAAACGCAAAACCAAACATTCTTTGCTGGTTTTTAGGAAGACCAAGTGTCTTTATTTCTGCTTAATGATCTGCAATTTGGCTGTGGCGTTGTTGCTTTCACTGGATCTTGTGCTGTTTCTTTTCTTTTCTTCTTTTAGAATTAAGTGAATCGGAAGAGGGAGCTTGGTATTTTGAGATTTATAGGGATCTTGTTCTTTGTTCTTTGTGATTTGATTAGCTTTAATGGGTTGTTGAGTTTGGGGAGCATTAACCTTGGAGTGGTGGGCTATGGCATCTAGAGAAGGCAGGCGTCGTGGTCATGAACTGGTGCCTCTGGCAGTATTGATAAGCAGGGAGATGAAGAATGAGAAGATGGAGAGGCCGAGTGTGCGATACGGGCATTCGGCTCAGACTAGGAAAGGAGAAGATTATTTCTTGGTTAAAACAGATTGTCACCGAGTACCCGGCAATCCTTCATCTACCTTCTCGGTTTTCGCGGTAATTGATCTTTTCATTTCGCTGTTTCTCTGTCTGATCAATGTTCTTAGCTAATTTGCAAGGTTGACTAGCTTAGGGACCGGTAGGATGTTATACATTTTCAGATGAATTGTTGTAACTATTGTCTTCTGCCTTCAGATCTTCGATGGGCACAACGGTAATGCTGCAGCGATTTATACGAGGGAGCATCTTTTGAATCGTGTTTTGAGTGCTGTTCCTCGTGGCCTTGGACGGGAGGAGTGGTTTCAAGCTTTGCCTCGAGCATTAGTTGCCGGATTTGTGAAGACCGACAAGGAATTCCAGAGTAGAGGCATGGAACTTTGGCCTTCTTTGGTCTTAGTGTTGTTTTCGAATTCATACATTGACGGATTCTATCTAACACTGGTGTTCTCTATGCTTATTGAATTGCCTGCAGGAGAAACATCGGATACTACTGCTACATTCGTTATAGTTGATGCATGGACGGTGACTGTTGCTTCCGTTGGGGATTCTCGTTGTATTTTAGATACCCAGGGTGGTGGAATCACCACCTTAACCGTTGATCACAGACTTGAAGACAACGTCGAAGAGTGTGTCTTTATCTCAATAGATCTCCTTTCTTCCAATTCGGTGAACAGAATACTTGATTGGTGCTGTACTTTGATTACTGCAGGAGGGAACGCGTAACTGCTAGCGGAGGTGAAGTTGGGAGGCTTAGCATTGCTGGTGGCACTGAGGTCAGTGTTTTTAGAGCCTCTTTAACATTGTTTTTTCTCTCCTAATAACATGTACCGGATTTTATGCAACTTTTTTCCGGATGGTGACAGATTGGTCCTCTTCGATGTTGGCCAGGAGGTTTATGCCTTTCTAGGTCAATAGGAGATATGGATGTTGGAGAGTTTATAGTTCCCGTACCATATGTAAAGCAAGTAAAGGTAAGCTTCTTGGACCTTTTGCTATATTGTTGTCAATGTTATGGTCACTTTCTAACACATTTAAAGTTTGTGAATGAAATTGTTGATGTTTCTTATTGTTTATAAAAGCTGTCAAAGGCTGGTGGAAGGCTTATAATTGCTTCGGATGGCATTTGGGACGCCTTATCAGCAGAAATGGCTGCTAAATCTTGTCGTGGATTACCGGCTGAACTTGCTGCTAGACAGTTGTTAAGGTGATTCAAAATTCATTGTCATGCAGTTTCTCCTTTCTTACCCTTGTTTTAGACCTGCCTTTTTCCCCTGTTTTCCTAATATCAATTTTGTTTAGGAAGCATTAAGGTCACGAGGGTTAAAGGATGACACGACTTGCATCGTTGTCGACATAATTCCCCCCGAAAATCCACCTCCGCCTTCTCCTCTTCCCAAAAAGCCAAATAAACTGAGAGCTTTTTTATTCCGAAGCAAATCTCGTGATTCCGCCAATAAATTAGCGAAGAAGCTTTCAGCTGTTGGTATAGTGGAAGAGTTGTTTGAAGAAGGCTCAGCAATGCTTGCTGAAAGGTTAGCACTTAGCACTAGCATTAGACATCAAATGATCAAATGAGTACCTTCTCTTACTGTTGCCTTCGCCACTAAAACACAATCGTTAAAATAATCTATAATACTCAAACTCAGATGTGAGTGTCGGATATAAATTTTTGAAATAAAATACATCGTTTTCATGTATTATTGCAGACTAGGAAACGATGAGTGGGCGGGGCAAACGACATCGGGTATATTCACATGTGGCGTATGCCAAGTGGACCTTGCTCCGAGTGAAGGCATTTCGGTTCATGCAGGTTCAATATTCTCGACCAGCTCAAAGCCTTGGCAAGGGCCCTTCCTTTGTGCCGGTTGCCGCAATAAAAAGGATGCCATGGAAGGTAAACGCCCCAGTGGAGTTAAAGTGGCGTAGCTTTTCAGCTTATAGTAATAGTATTTGCATCCTTGTCCCTCAAATTCTAATTCTTTTGATAGCAGTCCTTTCTTAATAGGTTAGGTAATTGTTTCAATCCTACTATGATGTGCAAATGTATATGTATTCCCACGCAATAATTTATAAATCTAATAATATATGGTGTCTAATATGAATTTTCCAAAATCCTTCCGACGGTAATGCTAATAATACATATCTTTTGGTAATAAAATATGTGTTTCAAAACAATCTCTCATTTGAAGAGCTTTGGAACAGCCTTTCCCTTGCTTCACTTGCCTGCAGTTTTGGGACAATCCAGAAAATAAAGTATAAGAGATGAAGACGACTAAACCAATATTCAAAATTGAGGAGTCACTAATCGGTTCAGTGTTCTTTTTAACAGTTTAGAGTGATTACAGGGTAATATGTGTTTAGAAAACTTTTAGTCTATTGATAATGTGCATACACTTTATAGATGCAGTTGCTTGAATCAAATGCAATTGCCCGAATCCGGATATTTTATGAAGAACAACATTTATTTGGTACCAAATAGCACTAGTTGAAGTTCTTAAAATTAGTCCACTCAATGATGTTTCTCCCATCTAAACCTTGGTATGAACATGAAGATCAAGCTAAATTGCGGTATCACATAAAGTTTCGAGAATGGACGACAAACCTGTTTTTCCCAGTTTATGCAAGTTGTAACAAGGGCAAGCAGGATTGTTTGGGTCAAAGAACCGGACTGTATACCGACCCACAGGCCGACCCCTTTCAACTGTAGCCAGAAGGCGAGGGTAGCGGCGACAGGAATTCCAACTAGATAAAATGCTGCAAGGTTAACATAAGCTCCTATATGCTGCCATCCACATCCCCTTGCAACACCTGATCCAAGCATGTAATCATTTATAAAACTACCACTATAACATTCATCTCCTTGGAAATATATTTTAGTTCTTCACCAAGAAGATAACGAGTTTAAGTGTTTAACCTATAAGAACCCCCTGTAAGCTGTCAAGAATAACAGATACACAAACCAAGGGAGCCATGGTTGTCACATAATCCACCACTTCCTTCTCACTGCTGTAAACATAACCGAAAACTTGTCGGCTTGCAAACAGGGATCCGGAAACTATAAGGGTCTCTAAAACTGCAAGAACCATACCAGCATACACCGCTACATGCGCTGCTTGGGGTCTCCCTGCTCCTAGTTCGTTCGAAACTCTAGTACTATATATATGAATCGGAAAAGATTCTTGGTTAAATTAACTTGGTTTGAAAAAGCTGCAATTTTAGTCAGCAAAGAATTACAATGTAGGTATGTGCATGCATATCAGGACATACCTTGTTGCAGCACCAAGTCCATATGGTATTGCATAAAGTGTTGAAATGGTGTTGAGACTGCTTGGGAAGGTAGAAAACCTTATTAGTAGAAAAAAATACAATATCATGCATTGATCCAAAACAAAAGCAAATAAACATACCATACAGACAGGACGGATGTTTCCAGCTGAGGATTTGGTAAAAGGCCAGAGAGCAGGATAAGTAGCTCAAATGACCACCATTCAAGGCTGCATTTGTTTGAACAAGGAACACATTAAGGATCTTCAACAGCATAGGCATATATATTCAGGTGAGAAGAAGAGGAGATAACATACCAAATCATAATAGCAGAAGGGATAGCGAATCGAAAGAATTCCGTAATTCCTTGGAATAGTTCCATCGTAATGGGGACACGAGTTTTCGTACAGGTGGGAGAGTGCCACATGTAAAGTGCAAGGAAAATCACATTCAACCAGCTTGAGATGCTAATGGCTAATGCTCCTCCTATAGTGTCTAACCCAAACTTGAAGACCAGAGCCCAACATAGAGGTATATGTACTAAAAGACCGATACAAGAGCATATGAGCAATGGAATGATCAAACTTTGTGTCTGAAAGTAGCGAACAAGTGGCTGAAAAGCAGCATAGGCGAATAGTGCCGGGATAAGCCACCGAACGAATTTACCGGCTTCGTGTGAGATTAAGGGATCTTGACCAATGAAAATAAGCAGCCTTCCCATGTATAGCCATAGGAGAGACAGAGGGATGCATACTAAGATCAAACAAAATATAGCAGTGTAGGTATGGATTCCCACTTTTCGGTATTGTTGAGCTCCATAAGCCTGTCCACAAAGCGTTTCCAATGCACAAGCCATTCCTAGCTGATAAACACAAATTACAAAATTTAGTAGGTTGAAATTCTATAAGCAGATAGTAATAGTAGTGACAATTACTTCCATTAGCGTCCAAGTCTTGCTTTTGCTGATTTAGTAGAGAAAACTAAATTTATACTTCTAGTTTGCCAGTTGAAAAGGGTTCAGTCATATGTTCATTGCACAAGGCTAAAAGGTTAATCGGGTAACTTAAAGTCCAAAACGTCCAAAAATTTTAAATATCCATTTGGTTCACAAAACATATTTCGGAAATCAAATTATGAAATATGAATTATATTTTTTTCTGAAAATCATTTTCTAATGTTTAAATCATTTTTTTTGCCTTCTTGTTAACTTCTTTTTAAATATTACCTAATATAACAAATAGTATTATTCATAATATTATTACCTTATAATATTACAATAATTTAATTATTATTATTTTGAAAGGGTGTTCTCTTTGACAAGCTCCTGCGAAGAATTGGATGTACTAAGATTACCTTAAATAGTCTCGACTGATTATAAGATAATATATTTTTATAATTTTCTTAATATTGACAAAAATCTTATAGGTGTAGTACTCAAACTTAAAATCTTTAAGAACAACACTATTACATAGGTAAATTATTTATACTAAAGATTTTCCGTTAAACACGTCAACATCTCTTAATATTCAATTAAGGTAAAATTACTAATTATAACAGTATAGATTAAAAAACATCTAAAATATGAAGATTTTATTAATGTTGTTGTCGTTATCGAGAGAAAGATGTCGATAATCGATATTAACAAGGAAGAGATATCGATATTGACAAAGATGTTTTACGCATAAAACAAACATACCATAAATAAAAACATCAACAAATATAAAAAGAAAGTAGAGGAAAAGTAAGTTGTTTGGACTTGGAGTCAGTCAGCAGATCCGATCACATAAAAACAACATCAAATGATGGCATTAGTTTCCACATGTTAATATAATATAATACTTGATTAAGTAAGTGGAAGCAAAATGCAAATTGACTTACAAGAAAACTGAAGCCGGTGACCCCGGCGAGAGATATGGCAATGGCGGAGCTAGAGAGGGCAAGCTCGCCCAGATGGCCCACCATCATCGTCGATACAACTTGCAAAAGGTACTGCGATATGGTCACAGCCACCATAGGCCCCGCAAGGTAACCCACCCGTTTTGTTTCTTCAACAACGGCAGGCCATGTGATTGACCGCCGGTTACTTTTCTCCTCTTTCTCTAAGTTGGGTATTAAACTCTCTTCCATTCTCTTCTTCTTCGGTTTGTCTTCTCTTTGAGGTTTGAATTTTGAAAAAGCCTCCTCCCTCAGTTGCGCTAAGGGAGAGACACAATATAGAAGGATGACAGAGAGTAGGGTTTGGTTTGGTTGAATATATAAGGTCAGACATAAAATGAGTCGGCGTCTTTCTCGCATCACGTGACTGCGGCATACGTTATTTTATTGTCGTAAACGAAAATGATAGATTTAAGTACAACAAGAGTGAATAAATTCTATTTGATTTGAAAATATTATTTTTTAATTTGATTTAATGTCAAATAATACAATCGACTTGGAAATTAATAAATTTAGTTTGATTAATTTTTTAAATAAAATTTCAACCATAATATAAAAATTGAATAATTCAAAAATTTTAATCGATAGTAGATTAATTTTTTAAGTTTAAGTTAAATTCTTTAATTCTGCATGATATATGTATATTACATATTTAAAAGTACAAATATACATAGTATAAGGTCATAAAAAGTGATTTAAATTAAATTCAATTAATAATATGATATTATAAATATTTAGAGTTAAATTTAAATAAAAACTTGAACAATTCGACTCAAATTTCATAAATTTAATTTAATTTCAAATAAAATTTGAATTATAAAATACGATTCATTAATTCGATTAATTTAAAAAAAAAATACTCGACTTACTCATCGAGTGCTCATCTATACCCCTACTTAGGAGTTGACAAACAAACTGGCCACAAACCTAAAACCAGACTTTTGCTACGGCCTATAAGAGAATTTGGGACAAGTAAAGTAGATAATGTTATATATCCGAGGTCCAGAAGATGTGAGAAAAACTAAACGACAAAATGCAATGTCGAGACTGAATAGATTGCCTTCCTCTGAGGATGTCTCTTATCTTTAACCATGAAAACACTTACACGACCCTCTACCTCAATCCAGCTACAACCAGGTTGCTTTACTACTCCCCGTTTCCGCATTAACCTCCTTACTCTAACAACATCTCCCCATCTCCCTAGCTCGGCATACATGTTCGAGAGAAGAACGTAAGGTCCGGAGTTGCTAGGATCGATTTCTAAAATCTTCTCTGCTACGTACTTTCCTAAAGTAATATCACGATGTACTTTACAAGCACCGAGAAGAGATCCCCATACAACAGCATCAGGCTTCATCGGCATTGTCTCTATTAAATTCTTTGCTTCATTGAGGCAACCGGCTCGACCGAGTAAATCAACCATGCATGTATAATGGTCCTTCAATGGTACCAAATCATGGTCCCTACTCATAGAGGAGAAATGATGTCGCCCCTCTTCAACTAACCCAGCATGACTACAAGCACAAAGAACACCGATCATGGTGACATGATCCGGTTTCTTGCCGGATGCCAACATATTCTTGAACAACTCGAGAGCCTTCTTCCCATAACCATTTTGTGCATATCCTACTATCATGGCATTCCATGACACCCAATCCCTTTCCATTATAGTTTTGAAGACCTGATTAGCATCTTCAATCGATCCACATTTCATGTACATGTCTATAAGAGAGTTGCCAACAAATATATCAGAATCTTCTCCAAATTGAAAGTGAAAATCATGCTTCAAAACGTGTGTGTGAGCCTGCCTTCCGAGCTGCAAATCAGCCAGATTAGCACAGGCATTCAGTAGATTGCCAAACGTGTAATGAGTTGGGCAAACAGATTCTCTCTTTAAGAGGCGAAAAAGTCTGAGAGCCTCTTCATCCTCCCCATTCTGTGTATAACCAGCAATTAACGCATTCCAGGATACTATGTTCCTCTCCATCATCTTCGCAAACATTATTCTCGCGGTTCTCACACTTGCTCCCTTCGCATACCCACTTACCATTGAGGTTTCAGACACTACATTCCGAACTGGCATCCTATCAAAAAGGCATCTAGCTTCATTGATTTTATTGCATTTTGCATACATATCAACCAACGAATTGCCCAAGACAAGATCGTCCCTCAACTTATTGCATTTCACAACACGAGCATGAATCTGCTTGCCTTCCTTGATCGCCGATAAGGTAGCACAAGCACTAACCACGCTGGCAAATGTGAGCTCATCTGGTTCAATTCCACAATCTATCATCCTCAAGAAAACCTGAAGAGATGCACCAGCTGGACCATTTTGCTCATAACAAGTGATCAAACTATTCCAAGAAACTCTATTCCTCTCACTCATATCATCGAAAGCTCTTTGGCCACAGTTGACATTCCCACATTTTCCATACATATCAACAAGAGCCGAGCCCATATAAACATTGGAAAAGAACCTAGTTTTCGATATTAAAGCATGGATTTGAGCACCAAGTTTAATGTCCTTCAACCCTGAACTAGCGCTAAGAGCACTACCAAACGAGTAGTCATTAAGCACAAAGTCCTCTCTATGCATCCTAACAAAATAGTGAAGAGCTTCATAGAATCTATCTTGTTGAGCAAACCCAGAAATGATCGAATTCCAAGAGCACTGATCATGCTCAGGCATCGAATCAAAAATCCCCACCGCATCATCAACGTAACCCAACTTCGTCAATACAGATATGACCGAGTTCCAAGAAAAAATGTTTCTTTGAGACATTTTTTCAAACACCTTCCGGGAATACTCCAAGGTGCCACATTTTCCATAAGCATCAATTAGCCTATTCAGGATAAAAGTCTCTGACGCAAAATTAGATTTGATGATTCGTACATGTAGGCGACGTACATCAATGAGAGATTTGGATTCGATATAGGAATCCACGAGCTTCGCAAAAGGAGAAGAGTCGGGCAGTGAAAGATCATCCACAATTTGTTTAAGCAATCCACGTTTCGCCATTCCATTATCCTTGAACAAACGAAGTTGCTGGGCATTGCTCTTTCGCTATGGTTTTTGCATCTTCCTTAGCATTTTGCTATGGTTTTTGTTTTATTTTTTTTTTCTAGATATGAAAGAGATTCCAATGACTCGAACGAATCAACTCACCGACAACGAGATGTAAAATGAATATATATTTGAATCCACACTACACAATACCATTCTGAGAAAAATAATAAGATTTTTTTAAAACATGAAAAATACTTTTAATAAAAAAAAGTATATGTATTTTTTTATAGTTTAATACATAATTAAATTCCTAAACTATAATTCTTTCACTATTGTGGTCCTTTTACTTTTTTTTTATGTGACCTGATTTTTAATTTTAAATCTTTTTAAATTTTTGATAATTTTCTTGAATCATTATTTTTTTCTAAAAAATATTAATTCCTTTTTCTTTCAATTTAGTATTTTTCGTTTTGGCAACATATTATCAACTGTTCTTTTTCGTTTAATACATCTCGTTGTCAATGTATCTTTCTTTTGTTGAACTGCTCATCTTGTTTCAGTAACTTCTTTTAATTTACAGTTGATTATTTAATCCTCTCTGAAAAAGAAAGTCTAAAGGAGGACAAATTTATTTAAGACTAAAAAATAATAATTTTATATACAAACAAAAATGTTAATAAAATCATAATAATTTAGGTTGAGCGTAACTAAAAATGTTATATTCTTTCTAATATTTTCGATACATTTTCATAATATTTTCGATTAGTAGCTTAAATTATTATCATTTTCGTAATTTCTTTATTGTTGATCGAAAATGTTAAAAAGATTATAACATTTTACATTATGCCAACTAAAAATGCGAACCTAAAATATAATGATTTTTATCATATTTTTAATTATGTTCCAAGATAATATTTTTTTAATCTTATATTAAATTATGGCACACTAGAATCATACTTAAAAATGAAATCCAACATTGCTACCTCTCTCCTTTTTCCTTTTGTACCAGAGATTGTCCTTCATCCTGCACCAGTTATAGAATGGGTGATAGTAATGATTGATTTCGACGGTGAGATATGAAATTTAACAATTTAAAGATTAGGGATTTAATGATTTAGAGATTATAGATCTAAAAAATTTATTAAAAAATTGAGAATTAAAGAATTTTATGATATTTTAAGAAAATTAATAAATAAGGAAAACCCTTCAACATGAATATCATATGTCCAAGTCTCAAGTGCCGGTTTTTTGCCCCCAATACGGCAGGCCAGAAAAAAAAAAAAGAAAATAGAGCATCTTAACTTTTAATTTGAGATTTACGACATATGTTATAGTGCATGAAATTCATCTCCTCTAAATGCCGAGTTTCGATAAAACAATTTTCAATTTCTTACCCCTGATGTGAGAAAAATTAATAAAAAAATATTATTTGGATGAATTCATCACCTCAACGGAACGAATTCCTTAAATATCGTAACAAATACCCCAATTAAAAGTCAATGTACACTATTTCCCTCTCTGCCCTATTGGGCCAAGAAACCCTCAAATGCCCAACTTCAACTAGATAACGATATATTAGAAGCCCAAATTATAACACAATTACCTATCTTTTTCTTAGTATAAAATTGTTTTAATAAATAATATGGAAATTATTTGAGCTTAACAAAATTAATATGAAATTATTTGGTTTATAAAAATATAAATACTTATAAAATTATAAAAATTAAAATTAATAAATAATAAATATTTCATATTATTCTAATAACTTTTTTTTAAAAAAATCACTACACCATTTGACATTGAGCTCACACCCTTAATATCTATAGTACTCAAACTTGAATTATCAAAGAATAACAATAATTTCTTATCATAGAGACAACTTATTTCGTGCAACAAATTAACGTTACCAGAAGAAAACAAACTCACACGACTACATATTATAAACCAAACCAATAACACCCAAAGATTAATTTAAATGAATTACTAAGATAATATAAAGTTATCGATAAAGTAAATACACATTATTAGAAGAATTTAGTTATAAATTTTTATAATAAATCTCATCATTTGATAAACAGGTAAAACTCCCGTTTATTTATTTTTTATCCATTATTATTCGATGTAATTTGATAACCATTCATCATTAATTATCAGTACAATTTATACTAACTTGTAGACAATAACAAAACGTAACATTATTTGTTCGAAACTGTTTAAATTCATAAGGTTACAAAAATAAATTATATAATCTTTTTAAAGA